GCGTAATGGTCCAATTACTGCTCTGGTGTGTGTCTGTCTGAGGTGGTATGCCTTCTCAACATCTAAACTTCAGTGAAAATAACAGAGGGCACACATTTCAGTCACACAGCTGCTATGGAGAGACTGGAAGCTTTGGCTTACTTGTTTAACCTCAGTGTCCACTCGGATTAGCCCCTGTGAAAGAGAACACCTTTGATTTAAGACTGCAATAAAAGAGGTCGATGAGGCCGAGCCCAGAGGTGTTCACTGATGTTAACAACAACACAAAATGAACACATTCACACAACTTGCAGCCAGGGCGACAAATGAACTGATTATGACAACACTTAGATGAGGGTCTACACCAGAGGTATTAAAGATAAGGTTCGGGGCCAAGAATCAGCCCAGCAAAGACTCCAATTTCGCCCACTGGACAGCTTTAAAAATATGAAGGAGTGGAACTTAAACACAGACACCAACCCTAATATGCTCATTTGCCACACATCCTACTCCAAGGCAATTAAATAATAGATAAACAATTAAATTACAGAAAAGCTGCAGTTTTTCCACAATTTACTACAGAAATGTATGTTTGTTTAATTATATAATTAAAGGAGGTTTTTAGCAAAGGACTACAGGGACCTTTTCTGTAATTTTACACATTTATCATGTAGTTTCATGCTTCAAGGCCCAATTATCAAAGTTTGATGTCCCTGGTCTACATGAAGCACCGGGGAGACGGTCATCAACTGGCCATTTGTTATTTGTAATGATGATCGTAACAGGTCTTCATTGCATAAAATTTCATTGCAAATGGAGCTTATTTTTAACCTGTATCGTGATATTAGGATTTATGAGTAACTCCAAAAACAAATATTGGCTTTTTAAAACCATGAAATATCGGTACTGGTATCGGTCTTAAAATTCCTACACTGCCTAAACTCTACATAACAAGTAACAGGGCTCGCAAAATCGCTGGCCCGACGTCCCGGGGCTAGCGATATCTCTGGTCGGACGACCAAAATCTATCTCAGCCCAAAATGCGCAGTTTGTGTTTAACTAAGCATTTATGAAATCACTTTATTTTTTCCCCAGTCTGTTTATTCAGTGTTGGCCACACCACCCTTTAATATCAGTCCCTATATATAGACATCATTGGGCAGTGACTGGGATTTTCACATCACATAGTTGCCCTCGTTTTGCAGACTGTAACGTCTCATCCATGGACATTTTCTTGTGGATACATGCTATATCGCAATATATACATCTTCCAGTGACACTTTTGGCTGAATTTCTGTCTCACGCTCTTAATGAGTTCCACAACTCTGGCACATTTAGCCAGTTAATTAACACAGTCTAGCGTGACGTCTCAGTGTTGACCAGTGTTAGTCAGTGGGTCGGATAATCTGAGGGTGTCTGTGCTGCGGTTTACATGTGGCTCCTGCTTCTGTGGGATAGGAAGCTGTGAGTATGTGGAGTGTGTATGTACGAATCTGACAGTTACAAAGTTTGCCAAAAGTTGAAATATAAGGGTTTGTTTATGAAGCCCACCACATGCGTGCGTGTGTGTGTGTGTCAGAAAAGCTGCCAGGGGAAGTGAGCAAACCCCCAAACTAACAGAGCTGCGTTCAGACTGAGAACACAGAGCCCCTTGACATCACCAGAAGTAACACACTCCCACCTTTATGCACTTTGTATATTCAAGCAGCTCACATACGGCTGAGCACACACACTCTGCAGAATGTAAAACACATGTGCGCTCACACACAAGTGCAAAAAACCCAAAACAAAACAACAAAACCCCCACACATCTGCATCGACACTCAGGAGAACATAAAAAACACACACAAAGTCAAGTGCCTCAGCTTGAAACCCAGGATCTGGAGGGCACACTTCAGGCCTCTCCTCCCCCTGAAACACACACACACACACACACACACACACACACTTGCATTCAACTTTGTCATCGCTGCCCCTGCAAGCTTGAAGAGGAAACCCCCCCCAACTCTCGCTACCATGCACACTGCTCCAGGATCACAGAAGGCGATTGTACTACTGAGCTGCAAGCAATGAGACTCAATTACGCAATTCTCTGCAACAAATTAGACAAAAGCGCTCCTGATGTTGGTGATTATGTGTGTGGAGAGGCTGCAGATAACAGAAAACTGGGGGGTGGAGGGCTCTTTTCGTTGTACGTCAACCTTTGACCTGCACACACGCTCAAATTACAGATGCAAGCTTGTTTAACTGCATTATGAGGGCCTCGTTTTCACTGCATTCATTCGTTTATATCCAGAAAATGGTCTTACTTTAAAGCATGGTTCCACATTTTTCCATAAACGCGCTCACTCGCTTCCACGCCAAGACTTTGGTGAGAAGATCAAAGTCAAAAGAGCAGCATGCAAGCTTGGCTTTGTATCACAACTACTCAATCTTTACAAAATTATGCGTAAAAATGAGATGTTCCCACTAACCTTTCTGCAGCCAGCTCTAGCTGCTGGATGAAAGGATTATCCAGAAAGTCAAAGTACTCTGTTAAAGATCTGGATATTCAATTTTTTTTCTGTTTATTTTGAATATGACAACACCGCATTTAGGTTGTTTGGGCTGTAAAATTACATAATAATTCTCACCTTTCAGGAACCATTTGAACTTTCTCTGCAGGTTAAGGAGTTACAGTCATGTGAAGCACGCATGATAAAATCTAGGCCGAGCTGATTCTTGTGCCTGTGTTCAGCCAACAGTACCTTGTGAAGCTTTTGTGCTGTCGTGACAAACAGCATATCTCTGTAAAGCCTGTCTTTTCTTCTTTTGGAAACAATCTGAATTTTGTCTGTAGCACAAACGGGAACGGACGGACGCTTGTAGCATGGGCTTCCCACCAGGCGGATAGTTTAAAAAGGCATTATGGGATAGTTTGCAGACTCCTTGTTCTTTATGCACAAAGTGTTTTCAATCGACGACGGGTCTGCAGAGCAGTTTAGTAAACTGCTTTATTACAGAGTTATGCTGTTGGAAAATGTGCCGAACATGTTTAAGTGTGACTTTGCAGAAAAAAGCAAGACCTTCTTTTAGCTTTAGATCCATAACTTACATATACACATGTAGTATCAAAAGTGCCAACAAGCTATAATAAACTTTGCAGTGAAACTTCAGCTTCCTTTGAAGGCCTCAAATCCACATGGGGAAAAAGAGTTGGGTGTCAGATGAAGTTTGGGATTCAGTCCTCTCCGGTAAATTCCACATCACTCTGCGCTCCCTATTACAATTTAAAGTATTTCGTAGGTCCACTTATCTAAACCCAAATTAGCTAAGATTTATCCTGGCTTAGGCCCCCGCTGTAATAGGTGCGGGTCTGATGATGCCAATCTCACCCACATGTTTTGGATCTGTCCTGCCTTGGCAAATTTTTGGTGAGGTGGAAGGCTGCTGCCCCGCCCACCTACAGTATGTTCAGTGACTTGCTGATCTCATGTCATGTCTTAGTCTTGAAGTCTTTGCAAGGAAAGGTTTTTGTCAACATTAATCGGCCCTCCCGAGTTTTGGTGTTCTGTTAACTTTCTTTACCTATGAGGAGTTCTGCTCTGTCTTCGATGCAACCAGTGTTTATGTTTCCTTTTTTTTTTTTTGTAAACTGTATGTATATCTTAATAAAAATATTTCAAGTAAAAAATGTAAAAAGAAGTGCCAACAAGCAATGCGGTCTGATAATGATTTTCAGTTTCCAGAGCCCTGAGCGGTGATTTTCACTTCCACGCGAGGACACCAAAGATGACCGCCCTTCAGGATTCTCTGCATCTCTTTGATTTTTTAGTTTTATTTTTTGTTCATTTTGTTGCAACACATATCGCTGCATCTATTTTTCTGTGCTGAAAAAAACCACACTGTTTGCATTTTGAGCGAATCAATGCTGGGAGAGCGTCCAGCCCACCCCACGACCCTGAACTGGAGAGGCAGTTAGAAAACAAAAAAAGGATGGATGAATTGTTTCATTGCTGTTTTTGTACCATTTTCAATTAAACTCAGGGTTTATAGAATTTGCAGATGATTGCATTCTGCTTTGATCCACATTTTACACAGAGCACCAACCTTTTTGGAAACTGGTTTGATGTTGGAAAAACACTGTAAAGAACAAATAATACACCAGAAATTTATTTTAATTATCTTTTAAAAGTCAGAAAATTACAGATAAGTCCACAAAATATTAGCGGACAATGTTTTTCCTTTTTCGTGAACTATTAGATTCATTGTGTCCACACTGATTTAGTGGAATTATTCATCTGGTGCTAACTGTGATGAAGTCCTGGCATGCAAATATGGAAAGAGTTGCCGCAGAAACAGCAGGGACTTTGGCGACTGTGTCCTTACAACTTAAAAACATGTACGCGATTCTTATGTGCATTTAAATCCAAACAATTATCTAATTATCAAAGAAAAGCCCCATTTACAGGATTTGTTTTTCCATCTTGTCCCTCTCGGGGAGATATATGTTACAACAGCATGCACACACTCGCACACCTCCTCTTAACCTCTCTTCACATCTGAACAGTCACAAAGAGACACATTTACGCAGCCCATGCTGTGGCAGGCCTCAGGCCTCACTGCTGGCTGTGTTCATTCAGCAGGATACACTGCGGGCTCTGTGTGGCGCTCTATGAAGCCTTGTGTGTGTGTGTTGCACAGAGAGAGGAGATGGACGCATGGAACCTCGCTATGGCTTTAAGAGCAGATTAAGAACACCGTATTTGTTTAAAAAAACATAGACCCAGTCTTTGCTTCCAAACCATAAAGGAAGGCAAAATGTTAGTGTAGTGCTTGGGAGCGGAAAATTCTGTTGACTGAGAGTCAATAAGTGTGTGAAGTGTTTGAAATCCTTGCTGGCAAACTATGGAATCATTTTATATTGGTTTGGGAATAGCAATACATGAATGTGAAGATAAAATATCAACTGAGGCCACAGTTACACAGTGTCATATATTCTTTTAATATCATGATTTAAGTGTAACGATATTCTTGTTTTGCTATTCTTGGCCGGACAGACAGACTACTGCGACACTATTTAAACATCACCTAAACTCTCTACTAAAAACAACAACCGACTTTGGTGAAATGAATAAATACTCTCTAGTCTAACTTTACAGTAACTGTCATCAGGTATGACACAATACACCTGAAGCTAGCCACTGCATAACAAATGCTTTATCCAAATTCTTCAAAACTGTTATCTTTATACAGTTAAAACAGATAAAAGCAATACAGAGAATATTTTCTGCTGATCCAGCGCTTTCTAAAACTCAAAGTGCACTCAGTGAAAAATAAGAGTTTCTAATGAGAAGAAGCCTGAGTCACCGGGAATGTGACGGCAGAAGGCGGACAGAGCGTGGAGATGTTTTTGGCAGAAGCGAGCTGGCACAAGGGCAATAAAAGGAAATTTGTTGAGACTAACAAGAGCGTAGCCGCTGCTTTTTCAGACACTTTCATTTGTCAGATATACGGCCTGGAGGCCAGGCCCTCTGCTTGTCTTTGGAAAGTGTGAAAATGGCAGAGGTGGTGGTCAATTTTTAGACTTTTTACTGTGTTTTGCACCAGGAAGCATTGTGTTCCAAGACATTAAGACAGCAGCTGTCAAAATCCGGTGCAGAGGTGTGATACAACATCAATTTAACAGCCTTCATGACATTACCCATGGCCTGCTGTGCCACTGGAAGGATGTTAAAACATGTCAAAGTCACGGAGGCATGTCAGTGCTTCTCTGACTTTCAACAGCAGCTCTTTTTCTAAGTGGAAAAAACGATTTGCACACTAAGACACCTCCAGCTGTTCATCGTATGTGTTGTGAGGATGAATCCTGAAATGTTATGGTGTTTACACTGCAAAAACTCAAAATCTTACCAAGTATATTTGTCTAATTGCTATTCAAAATATCTCATCACACTGGAAAAAAGACACAATCAGCTACAGAGTGACATTTCAGTGAGATATGGGAACTTGTTTTTAGTGCATCTTGGATCTGGAGAAATTTCACTTGTTCCATCGGCAGATTTTTTTCACTTATTTCAAGCAAAAATATCTTGTATAAGTGAAAAAAATGATTAATTAAATTCTATTATCTAAATATTTAGAAATGTCTGAAGCAGCACTGTACTCTCAGAAAACATCAAAGATCACAGGTAAAATGCTGACCTTACTTTGACTGCTGCAAAGGAGACCAGGTCAGGTCACATTACTGCATGTAAAGGAGGCAGGAGGCCAAACTACTTGTCAAGCTAATGAAGAGGGAGCAAACGCCTTCGCTGTCGCTACAAAACAAACATCCATTTAATGCACGCTGGTATTTCCTAATGAAATAAGTGAAAAATGTCACAGTATAGGATGTTCAAAACATCAGTAACAACTAGTTATTGATTACTCACACCTACTGACAAAGGATGGAGTCTGCTGGTTAAAGTCTACAATACTTAAACAAAATTCCGATAAAAAAAGCAACAATAATTTAAAAACAATTCGATAATTTAAAGCAATTCAGTTAATGAAGCATTTATTTTCAGGTTATTCACAACATTCATGCTTCAAACCTGCAGCAAAGGTTTACTTGTTTTTTTGTGTAAAAGTGTTGCTACATAGCAGAACACTGCACCACCATCACACCACAGTCTGCTGAATCTTAAAGTTTCAAGCTGAATCTTTTTGCAGTTAAACTGTTTCTAGGATTAAAAAGACAAATCAAATGCAAAGTTGCATCAGTCTACCAAACCTTAAGGCTCACCTTCACTATTCCTGCTATTTTTAATTGCACTATGAAATGAGGTTATGGCTCCCTGGAAACGTTTGTTATTGTCCTAAGGCTTTCTCCTGCGTGGGAACCAACAAATATTTTAATTTCCAAAGGTTTAGGCAGCTGCGTAGAGAACTCAGTGACTGTGGGTTGCTGGGACAAGGTTTCGGGAAACAGAGTATTTATGAAGCTTTGAAATTTGAATCACCTCCGTAAAAATAATTAGAGTTAAATTAACTGAGGTTAAAGGTGCTTTTTGGACACTTACATTTTTAAAAAGAGAGAGGGAGAGAGAATAAAAAAATAATCTTGCTTAAATGCTGAAAACAATGTCAGCTTTTACTCGGCTGTCTTTAGTAAGACTAAACACAGTAAAATGTTAAATGTTCTGCTACTGTACAGCCACAGCGTAGAGCAGGAGGCAAAGTAGGCCAGCAAAACATAGAAGGCTTCCAGTCCCACTGTTTTTAATAAACAGTGGTTAAAGTACTTTTAATAAAGTAAGACTGTTAAGCATCTGCCTAACGTTTCATCTGATTCCTGTCGACACCCACATCTGTAAAGTTATCCAGATGTGGGTATCTTTAGACTTATTTGTTGATTCTCAGTAGACCATCTAAAAACTAATACAAATGAAAGACAACAATCAACATTCGATTAAAACAGCATTCGGCTGTCACCGGTGTCACCACATAAGCAATGTACCAACAAGCTGTCGTGTCACCATGACGAAAAAAACTCCACTACAGAACATGTCAACAGCAACTGTCTTTAACCTGAGAGCAAAGAGGGCAAGAAGAAGCGATTTAGACTATTTTGAACCCTTTGGCTTTTTCCAGCACTCATTACCAGGGCGGCGAGACACACAAGCATCTCACTGTACAGATATATCTGTGTGTGTGTTTGCTTTCTGGCAGTGCTTCAAAATATTAAAGAGAAAGAGCAAGGGGAAAGAGGGCGAGGAGGAGAAAAACTTTAATACTGCGGTGTATTCTGTACTAATAAGCTGTCTGGGCTTCTGTGGGAAACTGTGTGTGTGTTCACTTTAATATAGCTTGTCCGACCGGTGTGAGCTTTGCCATGCACTTCTGTGTGCTTCTCCAAGGCTTCATGTTTGACTGAGAGCTTTCTTTGAATGTGCTGCATGTTATTTCATTTTTTATATTGTGCACGGTGCAGCCGTGAGACAAATCTTCACATCTGTGGTGTGACTGCTTTGCGATGTGCTTTTCAGGTCATTTCTGTGCGATTACCTTTACCCTTGTGCATGTGTGCGCGTGCTTGAGAGATAAAGGCAGGACTCACTGTCTGCTGCCGTGCTGCCGTTGGGCAGCGAGCCCAGATCAACAACCATGCCGTCCAGACAGACGTTGAGCTCGCCTCCTGCTACAACCGAGCCTTTGTTCTCCGTCTGCAGCACCAGGCTCAGCTGGACGTTCTCCACTAGAGGGTGGAAGAATGACAGACAAACAGAGAAAGAGGGGATGAGTGACTGAGAAGGCAGAGGGACAAAGGAAAATGGATATCCTCTGTTATTGCTCTAACAGAGGAAAACAGCGTGAAGTCACTGAATACCAAAAGGATTGTTTTCCAAAGATGTCGTCCCCATTTCACTTGGAAAATATTCTGCATGTTAACAGATATACAGAAGGTCTGACTGATCCCCTCACACGTCCAGTGTGTAAAGTTGTTTTTAATTGCAGTATTTACATGAAGTAAGTCGTCTAGCTGCCAGATTAAGTTCCACACTGCACGTATGCACTGAATCTGCCCACAGCTTCCTGCTGGGCTCAGAGGCTTTGCTTTCACATCCACTTTGTTTTTGGTTTTGGGGGGTTTTAAATGCTCAAACCATTTCACAGTTAGAGAGGTAAGACTAACATGGTTTGGACATGAGGAGAAAAAGAGAAAGATCTCAGAGGAAGTTCATGGATGTATGAAAGGAGGACATGCAGAGTGGTTGGTGTGACAGCGGAGGATGCTAGGGATGAAGGAAAAAAAACATCCTGCTTTAAATGTTTCTCTAAGATATTTAAGTTAAAGTTATATATTGCAGCTTTATTTCATTTTAAATTAGATGAAGGGTTCAGGCTTTAAGAATTAAAGCTCTTGAGCATGTACCGCTCCCTTTTTTAAAGGACAGGTGTGGCATTTCTTCATCATTGACCCTGTGCACGAGAAAATGCTAACTTCCTGGTTTGAGACCGGATGTGGGGTTGTACATTTCCGGTAGCTTTACTTTGCGGTCAATCGCTACTGCGAAGATATACTCCAAGATCATGTCTAAAACTCGAAAACGGAAAGATCGCGTTAAGTTACAAAGAGGAGAAGGTGGGAACACTCACCGCTGTTGTGTCATAAAAAATCGAATGATCAATTTTGACGTTTAAAGCGTTTAGATCGATCAGTTGCTTACATCGCTCAACACAAGCAGAACTGCATCACTGCAGCAGAAGACACATCGTCCACATTCAGAAGCACATCTCTGTATAGTGACTGGTCTTATGATTTAAACAGGCAAATGTAAATCGCCGCTTGATTCATTCATTTGCTTAACTTGCTTTGGACCGTAAACAGGGCGCGAATAGGACACCGGAAACAAAGCTCCCCGCAGGAGTTTCCGCACCGGAAGTAGCATATGCTAACGTGCACATAGTCAATAGAGCTTCCATCGTATCTGGAAGCCGTCGCTGTGAATCCAAAACACAGCTGCAGTTGAAGTACAACTCAAAAACCGTTAATCCTCAGACTTTAAAAATAAATCCATCGGATATAACAGGAACACTAGTTTAACAGGAACATCGGTGGACACAATAAGGAACTTGGCAACATGAAGACCCTGACATCCAAAGAAAAGAGAGTGCATAATCACAGGATCCTTTTTACGGTAAAAGGTCTTCAGAACACGTAGCCAAGCACACAACACTCTCCAGGAGGAAGGCTTAATACCATCTACACTTAAGATAAAGACCGGGATGGGAAGTAGGCAGTAAACAAGTGTCTATCAGGCTCTCAAACACATATGCCAAATTAGACTTTGCCTAAAAATGTTCTACAAAGTTCTCTGTACAGATGAAAGCACGACAAAGCACCTAAACTAAAAATGTTTTTATAAATATTTTCATTTGTTCAATTACATCTAAGAAGACCATGTATAAGATATAAAATGTCTGTAATAATGTGTCCTTTGATATTTTTGTTAGAGAGTGGGTACATCTTTTAAGATGAGTAGCAAAGGGAAGTTCACTCTCTGCAGCTTGAATGTGCAGGCTCAAGCAGGAGACGCCTAAGGCCATTGCATCCTAGTGCTCAACCTACCCCAATACAGGATAAGAGATCAAGATAAGCAAGATCCATCCAGTATGGCACCATCTTAGACATACTTACATTACAGTCTTATAACTCTAAGACTCGTCTGACTCAGTCAAATATGCAAGGGTAAAGAATATCAAACGCTTACAGAGGAGTTATTTAGCAGTAACCATCAAGCCAAAAGTTACAGAACACTGAAATCTTTTCCGAGGAGTTCATAACAAAGTTAAGTTAAGCTTAGCTGGCAATGTGCCACCATCACTGAGGCTACTGAAGAGGTTTGAGACATCCAATCAGTGTTACTGTTCAGTTTAAGTGTGAATATCAAATAAAACTCTGTCTCAGCACTGTTAACAACAGTTATGCACATTTTTACTTTGAAAGTAAAAAAGAAAATTCAGGTGTTGCGCCAGTTATACATCTGCATGCCTTACTTCACTAAGTGCCTCTGAGTGGATGAAAACCACAAGCATGTGAACAAGGCTCTGGCACCCTTGGTGTTAGTTAGCACATCGTTCTTTAAAAGAAACAACTTATTCTGTAAGCTTGAGTGTTTTCAGTTTTTTGCCAAATCTGCAAATCTGTGATAAAGAAAGTTTTTTATTAGTATAGTGAGCTTCTGTCAAAGTGGGTTAAGATAAGCTGCAACAGCCTGATTAAAATAACTGACAAGTAACTATCAGAACTTCCAATGCTACAAAGAAAAGTAAGAAAATTTTAAATTCTATATATTCCTTGCAAGGCCTCGGCCACTGCGTGTAATTTTTAAGGTTATTTGATCTAATCTAACTAATGCACATGGATTTGGAGTCGGCATTTTAGTCTCAGCAGCCTCTCTCTGACCGTGTCTGTCGTGTATTTACAGCAATATTTTGGAATTTCCTTCATAGATGGTTGGTCGTGGCTTACATGATGATGTGATGAAGTCTCTGGAAGACACAGAACCTTTCTGTATATGAATGTATATGTCCTGTATACAGACTTTAAATTCCTTATACTGCTAATAATTTTGGTTACACGAAAGCAAACACTGTTTGGGTATGCTGCATATCATCAGAGTAATTCTGACAGTTCCAAAGAGGCTTTGGAAATTCACCAGGACTGTAATAAAAATGCCCAAGTGCAATTTTTAGGTAATTTTATTTACTCAAAGCAATATAGAGAAAATTTATTTAAAAAAATATTTCTTTTTATCAAATAGCCAGGAAAAAAACAACGAGGAAAAACGCACAAACCTCTGTTATGTAAGGTAGAGAAACACGTACAGCGAAATTGTGCTCGACATGCATGGTGACTCCAAACTGTGTGTGGGTGTTTGTGTGCGTTTTTTTCTTACTCTTGCCATCGTGCGAGCGCAGCGTGTCCAGCAGGTCTATGGTTGCGCTGCCCAGTAGCTCCTTTCTCAGGGTGTGGCAGCTCCACAGCTTTAGATCCAGACGACTCTGTGGCGTCACATTACTGCAAAACGGCATGAAAAATACATCAGCTACAAATGCTTCTGCTTACAGCAGCTGCATTTTATTATTGCATCCTGCTCTTCATCGCCTTTAGCGACGGTACGCAAGTTCTACCTCAGACAAAATGTTTTAAATAAGCTGACGGGAAACAAGTACAAAATCTCGATTAAATTTTATCTGTGTTAGAGCGCTACCACGACAGCAGTACAGTCCAAACACTGTCAGATGCATGCAGTTAATTTAATGTTCTATTGAATTGTTTTAACAATAAAACCCTGGCTCTCATGAGAGCCCGAGTGTGTGTGGTGCTCACTCACAGGGTGAGGTCTTCGTTCCACTGCAGCTCAAGGTGCCCGCTACGTTTGCCTGTTTTTTTGGTTTCACTGGTGAGGCCGTCTGCAGTCACCTCAACGAAGGAGCTCAGCCGAGAGTGCCGGTTCGGCAGCTTTGGGGACTGGGGCTTCGCCGACACCACTGCAAACACACACACGCATAAAGCATGTATCGTAGTGGAAGAACACATCTGTGGTTGTGACAAAACCTCTGCCAGCAGTGCAGCAGTGCTGTCATTTATGGCAACAAAGGACAATAAATGTTAACAAAAGAGAAGCATTTCTTTTTTTCATTGAGGTTTAACTGCCTGCAGCTCTGGTAAGAAAGAGTCGGAGCTGATCAGATCCTCACGTGGAAAACGACAGTCTAATCACACAAAATAATTTTAGTTCAGAATCAGAACACTTTATCAATCCCTGCGGAAATTATGTGGCCACAGTTACTCCAAGACAGCAAGAACAGCAACTACCTGAATTATATTAAATAATAAAATATATTGCAAAGTTACACTATGTAACAAAATAGCTTACAAATAGTTCTAATATTATAATAATAGTTCTAATAAACAAATATTCCAGTACATTACAAAAAACTAAATATGACACCGAGACGGCCTTCTTACTATACTGACATCCTCTGTAAAGAATGTTCAGATCGTTAGGGTGTGTGCACTGTATGCTGTGCATTAGATGGAGGAACTGAACAACAGGAATGACTTCCTGTGTCGTTCGGTGATACATCTGGGCCTCACTGAACAGCTCCTGTGACTCGCCAACAGTGGGTGAGCGGGATTGTCCAGCATTGTCCTTTTCTTGGACAACATCCGCCTCTCCGACAACACCTTAAGGGAGTCCAGCACCATCTCCACAATGTTACTGCCCTTGTGGATCAGTTCATTGAGCCTGTTAGCATCCGTGACCCTCAGCCTGCTGTCCCAGCATGCAACAGCATAGAGGATGGCACTAGCCACAATAGACTCGTGTAAAATCCCGAGCGTGTCCAACAGATGAGAAAAGGCCCCGGAAAATACAGACGGCTCTGACCCTTCCTGTTATTGTCACTGTGTAATACAAGGCAACACCCTTCTTTTTAAATCAGACTGACTGGTGACTGTATATATGCAGTTTCTTCATCCAGGTGACCATGGTAACTAAAGCTAAAGCAGCAATGCTTCCAAAATAACTGGCCAAATAAGTCTTTGTAGGAGTGTTAAGATGGCTGCCAAGAGGCGATGTGTACATATAGGATTCTGGAACAATCCTGATTTTTATGAGATTGTTTTCTATTTATTATGTAATAATGTGAAGCAGCGCGGTGTACACTACCGTTCATTTTAGGTCACCTGGAACGGTTCTCAGCGGTGCTGGAGTTAAAAGTTAAATAAGTGGTTCAGTAAATTGGACAAATGTTACAGCGTACTGCAACACCCTAACAAACTCCTTGGACTGTGTGTAGTCCTGCATGTATACTGGCTGTTGTGAGTATTTTGTTACACGCTGTGTGCCACGGCCTGTTCAGGATGGATTTGAAGTACACGGAGTGTATCAGACAAATACAAACTTTGCCCTCTAGTGGAAGAAAGGAAAACACCTTCATTTATTTAATTTTTATTTATTTAATAAAACGTATTTAATTTATTTAATTTTGGGGGGAAAAGAATTGACTGACCACAATAAAGCCTTCATGTTAAAAAAAATACAAACAAAAAAGATTGCACTGTTTACTTATGCTCCGTTTAAGGTAGAATGAATATTCGAAAGTAAAGAAACTTTTTGCATCCACTGATTTCAAGCTTTTTTGTTCTCTTTTTTTTTTTTTTTCATTTGGAGTGGGGTAAAAGTGTACATCCGGACATTGGCGAGCTCAGAGGCTTGGAATTCTTGCAGGCCTGCTGAGACTCTTGTTATCGCATGTATCGGTCCTCAGAGGAGCTGATTTCTTCACACTGAATCACAAAATCACAAGATTGCAAACTGAAGAACATGCTGACTAGCAGCGTGTCGCAGAGTGCCTCTGATCAGGACTACCGACTGAAAGAATGAATGTGACAGATTAAGATAAAAAAAAAGACAGACAGACAGAGAGGGGTTTCCATCTGTACTTTTTCCTTTGCAGTGAGACTTTAGCAGATCCACACTGGCAGCAATATGTTGATGACCTCAGATCTTCTGAACATCTGGCATAACAGAACATGACTCATGTGAATGTGAAGTTCTCTAGAAACAGGGAGGAAGTGACACGGGGAGGTGGGAGGTGTGCCAGAAATGGAAGAATTGAAGTAAGTTTCAACAGTGTGGGAGGATGTGGGAGAGGTGGAGGAGTGGTAGACAGCCTTTGAGAGCAGATCGGTAAATAAAAAGGTGAGTCAGTGTTCATATGATCAAACCTGTGGTTATGACTCTGGTGCACTTCAAAGACATAATTAAGGAAAAAAGTTCTGATGAACTTTTTTTCGTCTCTTTAAAGATAAGGTGCAAGAAAATTCATTTTATTCCCGGCAGACTCAAGTGATTCATGCAAAAACAAAAAGTGAGTCAATCACCTTATAGCTTCATGTTAAAAAATTACAGCATAGTACAAAGAAAGATTTATACAGGTGGAGTTATCTGATGCATGGACGCTAGTTTCAATCAGTAAAAAAAAGAAACAAAAATGCTAAGCTATGCCTGACTTGAAATTTTGATTCAGATCTGCCAATCAGGAAGCTCTACAGAGGTACGTCATTTCTTTATTATCCAGAAGGAGAAGGCAGAAGGTGTCGGCTATCCAGCAGTTCAACATGAACACAGTGACTCCATATCCATGCAGTTATCACTGCATGCATTCAAAGCTCACACACCTGGCGCCAGTTTGTTCATACTGACGCTGTCACTACCTGAGTTTGCATTTGCACCATCTGTTTACAGGTAACGACAAAACAACAGCTCTCATTAGCAAAGCTAACTCGAAAGTTCGAGTTACGGATGGGTTTTCTTTTTCTCAGTGGTGGAGACACAGTCTTTTGTTCAATATTTATTAACAGGCACAAACAGGCACTTGTGTTTGTGCATCACACAGTTTATGAATGCATGCCTGAACACCAAACTGCTAACGACGGGCTCTAAAACAAACTAACCTAAACATGCAGACTTCAAAACGCTCAGGTCATATATCCTTATATCAGGTCTATGATGCAAACTCATATTAAAAGGTAAGAAATACTGTTACTGTGATGTTTTCATCCTTTTGACCATTTCAAGTGTTGGATGATTAAACCAAGCAGGACTCTCAGGCTTGGATTAGACTCACTGTACGACACTGTTCTCAACTAAATCGATTTTTGGAACGACATTGAATGACGTCTCAAACACATGAACTAAACCTTTTGAAAATTAACACAGAAAAAAAACTGTTTTAGAAAAAAATCTCTGCATTGACACAGTTACTATGGTAACTTATGCTGGACACACGACCAATGAAATCTCTCAGCACCGAGCCTGAAACAGAAAGTCTGGAGCCGTAAACAAGGTTGTGTTGTAGGTAGCACACTCATCTGGTCACCTTAACCTCCAGTGAAAAACCACCAAAACCTCAAATCAAAATCTTTTATGTGCAATTTGAAAGTCGCATTAAATGTCGCATTAAAACCCCTGCAGCTCTGCTGAAGCTGCGAGCCCTCCTGCTGCCTCAGTCGTTAGAGATAAGAACATAAAAAGTCTATCACAGCCATCTATAGTGAATCTTTTTTGTTTCCTGACTCCTCCATTAATTAATAAAATTCACTCAAGTGAACATGATCTATAAGCAAAAGGCTTCCTCTATTCTCCAAGCTAGTGTCAGGTCATCATTTGGCTGTGTTTCTCCTGGGTTAATGCATAAAACTAACAAAACATCACCATCTGTGGGAGATCACTGTCATTCTGCAGGTTAAAGTGCACCGTATCTATATTTTCCTTGATTTTAAATATGTGATATTTTCAATTGCAAATCGGATTTGTGAAAATGAAAATCCACCAGTAGATGTGGCATTTACATTGATGCATGCGCCAGCTGCGATGTAGGTGTTCAGCTGATGAGCTGAGAGGTGTTAGACTGCATAACTGCCTGGATGGATTGAAATTATTTATTTAAACCACGGAGGGAAAATGCTGCAGTGCAAGGTAAATTCATCCAATGAACCAAGGTGTGAGCTAAGTGAACTGTAAACTTTGCGGATCCTGGTCTTTACATTTTACCAAACAGTCAAACAAACTAAACTAGGAGAGAAACCTGAGGGTGTCTGGATTGTTCCCCTCATTTCCTGTTTTATTTTCTAACAGCTGTTTGTCTTCACCTTTAGTTATTTCTATTTCCGCCTCTTCTCCAACAGCGAATTACACACCTACAGGTAAAACCCCCAGTTTCCCTTTCTTTCTTGCCAGGTCACCTTTGTACTTCTGGCAGTTAACACCTCTGGGCACATCTCCGGTTTTCCAGGTAAAGTTTTTCCTCTTTGTGGTTTGTTTGAGTGTTTCTCTGTTTAAATTTTTGCCTTTTGTGTTTACATTGTGCTGAACCCTGGACTGACATGAAGTTGGGGACTTTTTGGACCTAACTTTGCCATCTTGCAGTTGGATCTTCATCTCTGTGCTGAATCATGGCAAGAAGATAATATTGCATTACATTAAGAATGAAAATCCTCCTTTATCTCGCTTTATAAGTCAACGTTTATGTCAGGTAGCGACCAACGCTGCTTTTCTCAAGTCAGCAAGCTAAAAAAAACCAAATATTTGTTTGCACAACAACAAGTATAGCCCCGCGTCACTAAACTGGCCCCTCCAAAGCTGGTCGCAGCTCATCATTCATGGTTTCACAACCAAAGCAGCACTACTTCAAACAGAAAGGACATAGTCACTTTATGAAATATGTTTATGGGTGATAATATATTGTCTTATGCTTGGAGAAGGGATAGCCAGATAAAGAGATAAAAAAAAAAAACAGAAGTACCTGTACCACACTTCTGTTTGCGGTATCAACATTTTGTCTGTGTGAGCAATAAAGTAGAAAAAAAAATTACCTTTCAAGGTCAACTGAGACTTCTCAGTGGTCTGGGCACTGCCAGGTCTGCTCACGCCGGCAGCTGCCATGACATCACAGCTCTGTAACACAATCACAAACACACAAAATATTACAGTATACTGTCACTGCCTTCCAATCAGGTGTGTGTTGGGTGATACAGCTCTTCTATGCAAAAAATATTGTGGTGGAGGCAGAATTTTACTGCATTAGATGGTAAATCTGGAGCAAGAGGTGGATGACATAGCTTGATTTATGTGCAGTGTCTTGAACGACAATCTTGAAAGCAACGCAAGTTGTCTCATATTATTTTAACGTCACCAGCAGAACATAACCCCTCCTTCAGACAGAAAAGCATAAAACTCCCACCACACTGCACCTCCAGTCCTTAAACACTCACTCCAGGGGAGTGATAAGTGACGTTGTCTAAGCACATTTCGCAGCATTAGAGAGAAAGCTAGCTGGGATAACCTAATTCAACGGGGCAAAACATCATGACATGCAATCACGCATCACTTATAACTGCACAGTTACAAAACTCCCACAAGCAGAAGGGAATTCTGAGTCTTTTAAATGACTGGAGAGGTCGTATCACTACATTCACCGGCAGCAGAGAGAGACACGGGATGAACAGGACAAAGAAGCAGCAGAACACAGGTGGTGCTACCCCACCCACAGCAGGTACCAGGTGGTGATAGTAACGGGTGTTTTTCCTCAAGACATGACAATTTATGCCAAAACATCTGGAAGAAAACATCCAAATGGAGTTTGTTTCAAAGCAGCTGTGCAAACATTAAGGCCAATGAGCCCGACCGATGTTTACTTTAAAAACTGCCATTCAGCTGTTCCCACAAAAAGGATCTCTCGCTACAGGTCTGCTGCTCTCTCCTGAACTCCACCTGGCAAAGGTAGTTCTACTGCTGTAAAGATCTGCTGAAGGGCCACTTTAACCACAAGCTACACCCTACAGCTCACCAAGCCTCCAGAGCAAACAGGGCCTGCCGTCTCCAGCTCCAGTCCAAGATAGTGGAGGTGAATCTCAATTGAGGCAGCCCATTTTATCACTCTGTTTAGGGATTAGGGAAACTGCTTTTTGTAAGCACATGTACACACTCAGATTCCCCTCTATGCCACAAACAGAAATCAGTAGGACACTATATTCTGGCAGAAGCCACGAGCCACTTTAAAACTATACAAAAGCCCCACTCATGCAAAAATAATATAGAGTGAGACATCTAGACTCTTGCTGGTTGAGTGTGCATACTTGTTCTCCGCTCTGATCACACTGCCAGAAACACTAAATCAGAGCGCATTCACTGGGAATTCAGCTGTATTTAAACATATATATGAACTCAGACATCAGGAGGGAAGATCCACAGACCCAGTAAGGAGTCCTCTCATATCATTATCATGAATGAACAGCTTATACAGGCACATGTTTGCACAATTCATGGATGCTGTAATAATGTTCACTTACCCTGGTGTGATTACAAACCTTGTTCCACTATTGTAACTAAACCGGATTGTTTTCATGTACATGCAGATTGCAAGGGCTTTAACAACACTCAGGAAATTAAAGGGTGAATCACTATATTATTTATAGGCGAGATTACCTACCCCAAGTTGGAGCTTGTCTGAACTATTTTGTACACTCTCTGGCAGTGTGATCTGTAAGACACTAACTACTTATCACAACACTGGAGTACAAGGTATATAAAGCTGATTAAAGGTGCACTGAGTAGCCTGTCCTAATGAATTTACATTAAAGGCGTGAAGTTGTTCTCCCTGTAATATTAAGTAAAAGCTATGACTTTCATCAAACCCCATCAACATCACCTTGAGCAAAGTCAGAGCACCCTGCTGAATTTAAAGCACCGCAAATACAATGCAGATTAAGGCTGGACTCTGCTCTGAAGGTGTGCTTATACTGATCTGTACTATATGCATCAAGGAATTAAAATTAAAAATAAAACCCCGATTCTAACACTGCTCTGCGAAGGGGACCCTCGTTTTGAAGGTGACATGCTGCAGGCACTGCAACCGAAACCAAGACAAAACCCAGCCAGAGGTGACCTGGTCCGAGTCAGAGTGACTAACCGGGTGTTGGATTGCCAGAATATCCACCTGAGGTCTGTCTCAAGGCTGCAGATAAACAGACGAGAGCTACCAAAACAAAAAGCGCACAGCATCCTCCGTCAACCTTGTGAAAGAAGCTGGATGCTGCGCAGCGTTTCTTGGCCGCTGTGAGCTGTCTGAACTTCTCAAGAACCAAGAGAGGTTTAAATGATCCTGACAAACTATTTTATCGCTGCCGTATAAAATACCTTTGGCTGCTGCGCACATAATACAAACGCGGAAGGTGATCAAGGTTTGTATGCATCACCGTCAACGAGAGCAGACCAAAACGCTAACGCTTCTGGTCACGTTTGCAAAATAAAATCTCCCGTTTCGTTTTGTTTGGGTTTGTTTGCGTTGAGAGTGCGGAGACAAAAAACAGCAAATTAATCCTATTATCAGCAAGTAGAAACTGTAGAAGGTGAGCTTCTTCTATTGAAAAACACAAATGTATTAAAGACTCACAATTTATACATTGATCTTTAAGAATCTGAATATTTCAGTCGAACTCTAGTCGCATTTATTTCGAAAGGAAAACCAACACACTTCCGCTTTGACTCAACGAACTTCAGCTAGCTTACCTAAAAGAAGCTAATAGCTAGCCAGCGAGCTTCTTGATGGGATTTTATAAAAGGACATGCGGATAAAACCCGTTCTAATCACCTGACAGCAAGTAAAGCCTCACCCACAGCCTCGCGGCTCTCCTCATGCCATGGTACACGTATTGACACGATAACAGTTTAGGCTTATGTGTGATCCTGGACGTACCTTTTTCAGCTGTGCTCCGCCGCTGTCGCTAGTGAACTTTCATTTCCGCCTCAGTGACAGTATCACGTGACCTAGCGTTCTCATTGCACAAAGGATTGTGGGTCGTAAACAATAATAAACAGCCCACACAATTACCTTAAATCACCTTTAATATATATAT